ACGCGCGCACGATAAGACGATTAAGCTCGACTGACACACAATCTGAGGGAAAAGTGCTTCCAATACGAAGCACTCGCGTTTTGATATGACCGATCGTACGACGCGTGATATGACAGACTGCGAAAGCAAGCAAGGATTTGCGGAAATTGCAGATATTTCTTGCTTCGCGTATTGCGAGAATTTCGAGAAAACACACACGCTGTCAAGATATCATTCCATTTTTGTCGGTGCTGGATATCTGATTTGTCGAAACGCGGACGGGATTAAACACAATAAAGTGCAGATAGATTAAAGATCGCGCGTATACTTCGCGAAACGAATATCCCTTATATACGCAAGAAGTCATTCAACGACGGATATTTTGCTCCCTTGGCGCGGCAAAACAAAAAAACAAATCCGGATAACTTACGTAATCCTCGGTCGAAAGAAAAAGAGAAAAGGAGAAAGGATCGCGGGAGAGAAGATCCCGAAGAAAAAAGGAGGAGCAACACACATCGTCGCAGCCTACCGTCAACCGAATCGCGATTAACGCGCGCATACAATCGGGGCGCAATTTCTTTACGCACGTGTGCGCAAATGCGTGCGTGTGTGTGGGTGAGCGCGCGCGCGCGCGCACGGCCTATCGCCCGGCCGCAGGAATCGAGATAACGTAATCGACGATGACATTGAACGCCGTAGTAACCGACCGCGTGCATTCCTGCGCGCCGCGCCTCCCTCCCTTCGTCCTCGATGCTGCGGTGGCGGAACGTCGTCTCGTATCGAGTCTTGCACCGATGCCAACGGTAGGTTGTCACCTCTGGATATAAACGACGGATGACGTCAGTCATGACATCAGTGATCCATATCGTCGTAACACCGTAAGGCGCCTCCTCGCCTTCGCATCGCGTATTACAGACGCTTTACGACGCGTCAGCGTAAAGACACCTTTGATAATTCGATGCGTCGGCGACGCAGCAGGTAGACCGAAGAAGACGCGAGGGGAAGAAAAGAATAGAAGAGATTCGAGAAAGAAAGAGGACTAGAAGCCGAGGCAGGGAAAACAAAAGGAGCACGCTGAAACGGAATTGGTGAGAGAGGATGTAAAGGATGAAGGTTAGCGCGCAACTCCGGCGCAACTTAAAACCCCTCAGCATTTTATGGGTGGGGTCGCCTTCCGAGAGAGAGAGAAAGAGAGACGAGAGACTGTCCCGGTATACGCCTAGTAGTCCCAACCCAGACTAAAATGCAAATCTCGCGCCCCGCTAATCTGTCTGGTGCATCCGTGAGGTCGGGACAAACCATTGGCGGAGACTGTGAGTTTTCCCGCGTACCTCGTAAATCAAAGTCCTTCTGCGAGGGAAGGACTTTTTGCAGTTGGCTAAAGAAGGAAGTCGGAATCCGGCGCGCACACATGACGCATATTCCCGATTCATATTCAACGAAAGTGGAAATACGCGCCGCCGCGAGCTGACAGAGAGAAATCTGATCCGGGAGATTGTCAAAGTCGAAATAACGCGCCGCGACATGTCGCAAAATGCGATCCGCTCATCTTCCTTTTTCTTTTTTAGATTTCGTCAGAAATTACACAACGAATGACAGAGCGCGCAACAAATGATCTCGCGATTAAGTTATCGTTTTTGTTTTGCGCGTTAACTTCTGCACCCTTCGAGCACTCGGATCGGTTCCTCGTATCTCCGTCGACTTTTTTAATCACTCGCTCGGATTCAGAACCCGAGTGGGGAAGAAACCCGACGCCTCTGCAGGCTCCCGACGATCCCCGATGCGCATACCGTATCAAATGTTGCGAGCTACGCACAATCTATCTTTTCTATGGCGCTCGCCGAGAGCGCGTTCACCCGCGTGTGGTGGTGCGACACTCTCGCCACATAGGTGCCGATTATACCAGCGATGTTTCGCTCGGCTTATAAACACGACTTACGGATAGGACAAGCGTTCACATAACGTGTATACTTTACTCGAAGAAGGAATAGAAAGAGAGAGAAAGAGAGAGACGCCGCTATGCGTCCCACATACCTTTATGAATGACGTTGCAGTATAACGAGAAAGGCGCGCGTTTTTCATGATAAAGTGTGTACCCGACAGTCGCGTGTCGCTTTACACGTACGATGTCTTTACATATCCAAGATGCGTCATCATTACCTAATGATTCTCTCTCTCTCTCTCTCTCTCTCTCTTTCTCTCTTCAAGAACTTTCCTGCAATATTTATTACCTCATTAAAAAAAGATAATAATCTGCAAATAAACAATTTGAAGTATTTTATAATTTCACACTTTTTTTTTAACTTGCAATTAAACTTGTAAATTTTTCCACCATCTTATTTGCGCTCCTTCTCGACTCTCTTATTTGCTCGCCCGTCCTTTTTCGGTGGTGAAAACATCAAGTGCGTAATGCATCTCATTTTCTTCTTTCGGAAACACACGCGCAAACGCTAAAACTCCCTCATTATCCGAACATCTACGCTACGAAAACTCCTCCGAACGAGAACTCGCTACTTTATTATTTCGCAATCGATAAAGATTACCTTTCCCGACTAAAGTAGTACCTACAAACCGCGCCGCGCTGTGTACAAGCAATGACACGCGAGTCGCGATTTCCTGCTCTCTCTCTCCACCCTTTTCTACGTACTTATCCTCCGTGCGTGCGTGCACTTTTGAACGCACCGTCTGCACACTCTGTCTTTCTCTCTCTCTCTTTCTCGCTCTCGCTCACCGATATGGGATCCGCGCGAAGCCAAGTCCAAATGGCTCCGTATCGGGCACCTCGCTCCCACACTCGCTCTCGCACAACGGCGATAATATTGCGCTCTTTCTACCACTTCTGCGCGTCCTCCTTTCATGTGTGTGTGCGCGCGCGCGCGCGCGTGTGTGTGTGTGCGTGCACGCGCGGCCGTACTTTGTGTCTCTCTCCTTCGCTCTCTCTATCTCTCCGCGAGCTCTCGCTCCTTTTCTCCATTCCGTCTTCCAACCCGTCGGTCCAAGGAGGCGAAGGTGGAGGCTAATCACCACGCAATCACCGCTCCCGGGACTCCGACCCGTTCCCAGAAAGCAGCAACCGCCTTTTGCCGCCCCGGGGGCATTCACCACCGCCGCGTTACCGCTGCTGCAAAACCAACAATCTTCGTCCTGTGCCGCGGAAAAAAAGATCACCGCCCTCCCTCCCCGCGTCCCGCGTACCCTTCCCCGCCTCTTTTCGCCAAATCAGCCCGGAGGGCCGACCGATCGTCCGACTACTGGCATCCGGGGAATCCATCGCGAGAATAGCCGCGATTCCATCACGGGGTCCGAGAGGATCCTCCTTCCCCCTATCGAGAAACGGGGAAAGAAAGCATGCATTAAACGCGCGCGCGAAAGGATAGCCCCCCTATTTCCCCGTGTCCGCACGACATGCCGAATGGTCGAAAAGAAGTATATTTTGGGATAATTTCCTCGCGCGAATGATGGACGTTTCGTTTCTGAAACGCGTATTTTCGAAATCGACGTTATCGCGCGTAATAAGAGTGCACCGTGGAAACACAAGCGAGGATGAGGACGCCCGTTTCGAATAATTGCGCGCGCCGAAAGCGCCTACAACCTACGAATAACGTGATTATCGCGTGCGATTTGGGAGCCCCCGTAGGTGGCGACGTCGCGCGATTACACGAGATAGTTTGCCGGAGGAAAGTGCACGCCGCACTTACACAACTTCTCTCGGCGCGCTTTCGTGATGAATTAATTGCCATCTGCTATCAATTATATTTTATACGCCGAAGAAATGTTCGAACAATTTTGTACTCACATTCCGAGCGGATAATAACGGACGGCTAATGCAAATCTGAATATAAACCCGTTCTTCTCTGATGGCGCTACAACTCACGGCCGTCTTCACTTTTTTTTTTTTTTTTTTATCTTCAGACAATTCGACACGTTAAGTTTCTTATGTCATTTCACGAAGTTTACGTTAAATTCGGTTTTATCGGAAACTTACACCGAGACTGATCATTGAGATTTTTTTTACAAACTAGGTTGCCAAACCTAGCTCTTTTATCCAGATTAGAGGATAGTTCCAAAAACTTGTTTTTTTTTACATTGAAATTCCGACACATTGTATTCACTTAATCGCGTTCTGTACGAAACTAGGGATTTGTTCTCGAAGAATATTTGTTTTACTTCTCAAATGGAGATTAAATCACAGCCTGTCAGAAACAAGTAAGTTCGCACGAAGGTACTTTGTTGCTCGTCTCTACCTTCGGATGCGGGATAATGCTTGCAGAAAATCAGTAACTGGTAGGTAAGAAGGTAAATTGATATAGGAGAGAGTCGGGGGCGATGGTCGTTACGAGTGTATATAATATTGGATGCACCTTTAGCGCACGCCCACGCGATGTGCGCGGCCAACGATACCAAGACGCCTGAAACTGCGCGCAGCGGCTCGGGGCGAGACTCCGCAAAAAAGAGAAGGAGAGAGGCCACGAGTTTACGATAAGATACACGGCTACACAACTTCCTCCGGTTTGTCTCGCGCTAACGGGCTAATCGAATTGGGACTTATTGTTATGTCGTCCGCTCAGGATTCGCTCGATGCGTTCGTGCGAAAACTTACGAATCGAGATTATCGAAAGATGCAAAAAATGCTGAATAAAAAAAAAAAAACACGCAAAGATTCAGAAGTTAAAATTAAGAAGTGAATAATCTCGAACGGATCAAGAAAAACTTCAAAAACTGAATAATTGCAATAAAAAGTTGAAAGTCGAGAGCTGTTCTTATCTCGAAAAATATTGTCGAGGAAATTAACGTCTTTCTCGATCAAATATTGTGCGAGGAAGTTTGATATCTTATCTTCTTCTAGAAGTTTTTACTTCCACTTCGATCCGAGGAGTAACCAGACGAAGTTTCCAGTGATAGAACCTACAACTTCTAAAGTGCATCACACAGATATTAAATCCGGAAATGAATATAAGAGATACACGCGCGCGGGTTCACGTAGCGCGTGTGCCGAGCTTTCGCCGTTTCGTGACGATGACTGCGCGCCGTCGCGCGCGAATTATAGGTACGAACCGCCGTATCGAATTGTCATTACGCCTCGCATCTATCGTACCGCTCGCGCTGTCACTTTTAATGGATCCACGTACACACACACACACATTGTTTTTTCCTGTCGACAATCGACGCGCGCGTTAATTGTCCGCGCATTTTGTCGGTACTCACGGCATTAGCGCCATTGACGGTAGACTTTGCTGAAGCTAAGTGGCACTAATCGATTCGAATTGATTCGATGCGTAGCGCCGCAACGATGAGTACGACGGAGATGTTCGCAAATTCATCAATATGCATGGCTGCAAATCCAAACTACTTCAATCTTTTTGACTTACAATGGAGATGACAAATTATGAGACTCTTGTCTCTGTTTATTTGTATACTAGATGTTTGAATTTTTTTATATTCGTATTTACAAAAAAAAGAACAAAAAAAAAAAGAACTTGGAGATCACGCGCGCTAAAGATCGAAAGGGTCGCACATACTCGGGGTAGTTCGCGGCGAATCGTGAGGGAAGTCGTAAGCTGTGACGTTTAGTTGCGCAATAAATCCCGATTCTCCGATTTGCAATCCATTTCCTATTGCGGGGGCGACGATTGGTTGTTGCTAAATTGGCGCGTAGGTGCGTTGGTACGTACCTACGTACCGGTGTAGGTACGCGCCGAGTGTGAAAGTCGGAAGGACCCTCATCTTTTCCTTTCCCTTCTTCGCGCGCGCGCGCGCGAAATGCCACTCGGTCTCTTCTCGCGAATCCGGTTAATAACGTCATCAACTCAGACCGCGAGTTGTCTGGCAATTTCGAACCGTAAATAAAATCGTCATCTCACGGTTTTTACGACATATTTGTCTGATTGAAACTGATATCTAAAATCGTTAACACGTTAATTGAGTAAAGAATTCAACACAAATATTAACTTCCGAACATAGGTTTTACACGAAAAATAACGAGGCATGTAATTTAACACGTGTGTTAAAAAGTTACCCATTCAAGCATACACTTAAATAATCTCCTGACATTTTTTCTGACGATTTGTTTGTGTTATTTATTTACAGATTCGGTGGCAGGAAGTCGTTTCGCGTCAAAGTGTCACGTTTTCTTGGTGATTTCGTGGCAGGTGGCGGTCTGCGGTGCGTCCGATCAATCTGTCGCGACCACCGCACCGGAATACATGGCCCATCAGCCCTGGTTGTACCCTTGCGGTAGCTTAACGCCGGAACAAGAGGACGACATGTCCAAGATACTCAAGCTGGTGCTGCTGGAGCTGAGAATCGTGTACTTCAACAAGTCCATCTCGCAGTTCGAAGCGTACTCGGAGGTAAGGAGAAGCACACGAGAGCGCTCTGCCGCTCGCGACCGCGATTCCGTAATTATAATTGCAGCACAGTGTCGCGGGGCAATGCCGCGTGGGTAGCGCGCTCGAAGGGGACTGCGCACGTGCGCACAATGCAACCGTCGCGCTGGTGCACAGTCCTACTTTTCCCGTGCGCGGCGATTTGCATCAATATTACGATGTGCCACGCACATCGCCAAGCGTAATTACCTTTTCTAGAGCCCGCCGGCGGCGTTTTCAGACACCTCGCGGATTCGAAGTAACAAATTGCTTCCGTCGAACAAGAGAGAGTACCGTTCGATATAAGAAAAAAAAAAATTGTCACGTTCTCGTAATGTGATTTAAATGTTGCTCTTGCGAGATAGATAAATGTGGCTGCGTTTGCGCAAAAGGTTTTGTGTTCGTAACGTCGCGAGAAGAGAACGAGATGAAATATGTTATTGTTTGGTCTACTATAGAGAGCCTGTAGGATTGAGTTTGTCACGGGGCAAATCTCGCGCAGCGGCTTTGATAGAGAGATTTATTTATCGATTTTTATCACTTCAAATCTTAGTTCGGAACGTAACCGCATTCCCCGACACAAACTTCTAGTCTCTTGTATACTTTTTCGAGTGCGGTACGTGTACGTGGCGCTTCATTTGTATACGAATCGAAATCGCAAACAAATACTACAGCGGATAATACAATTCTGATTCATTCACGAAAACAAATGTAAATATTGAACACGTAACAATTCTCAATTTTTTAAGATATGTTTTTAAACATTAATTTTTAATTCTACGTATAAATATATACTTTGTGTTACAATATTATTTCTCTAATGTCCGATCACTGTGTGGACTTTAAAAAAAAATCTCTCGTAAAGAATTCCACAGACGGTACTAAAACGCGGCGTACAAATCGTAAAATTCTGGAAAATGACCAAATGTTGTTCTTTCAGGAGCCTACGAAGAACCTGCATATATCGCACAGTTCTCGCAACAGTCTGAACTGGTTGCCCAACAAGAACCAGCTGGCGTGTTTTTACAGAGAGATTTGCAACTTGGACAAGCCGGTGAGAAGAAAAGTTGCGCATATCCTTCCGCATTTGTACAACATGCTTCAGAGGTTTGACATCACGTTCTACGCTCTGAAAGAATTTCAATACGACGAGATCGAGCCTATCGTTCAGGGAGAAGGAGGAAGCAAAGTCACGCTCAAGACTAAACGACACGAATTCTTTTTGAAGCTGCACACTTACAATTTACAGGTAAATAATCTAATATTCATTTTCTATATATAATATTCATTTTTTATATATAACGAGAGTTATGTGTCAACAACAAGCCGGAGAAACACTTCGCTTTTGTCGCTCGTCAGAAATGCTCGTAAATCAAATCGATCGTTTTAGTTCAAGTGGAGATACGAGTTTGCGCGCGCGCGCGTCTTATATTTCGCGCAGTGAAAGCGCGAACGTGTGCGTATTGTAAAAATTGAAACTTCTGATCTCGCTGTATGATTGCAGATCATGTGCGAGGTCCAACGGGGTATCAAAAAGTTGAAACTGAAACTGCCCGCTCCGGAAACGATGCAGATCGTGATGGACAATCCGCATTACAAGAGTCGCAGCAATCAGATGACCGATATGATACTTCAGGACAAGGGTGTGCTGGCCATGTACAAGACTTTCTTGCACGAGTGGATGAGGATTATTCGCGCGATTCGCCAGCCCGCGCGTTGCGCACCGGTGAAGAATCAAACGATGAAACAGATCGGCATGGAGGAACACGCGAGTCGTCACGCGTACTCGTCTCTGCGACAGGTTACGAAGCACCGCGTTCAACATCAACCCGTGATAAGACATAGCGCGTATCAGGGAGGTGTGAAGAATCAAATCAAGCGCGCGAAGAATTCTCAGCTTGATCTGACGAGCGCTACGCACGTCAGAAAGCAGAGAAAATGGGCCAGAATGAGGAGGCAAAGAAAAAAACCGTTCGCAAAGAAATGCAAGTGGGGCGTGTAAAACCGTAAACCCCAACAGCGCAAGTCTCTAACTTGGATCTGGCTCCGAGAGATCTTAGACGCTGCTCTGTTTGAAACGTCGAAATGTATATTTATTAGATTGGACTTCAACACTCGCGTCACGAATAACGAACGGCTGATTTAACGTCCGTGCGATTTTTATACTCTATCGTGCTGGGATCACTCGTTATTCAGTTTTGTTACACAATGAATCGAGTGAGTGATTTGGATCGGTACTTCGCAAACTCGTCAATCGAATCGCGACCGATTATTCTTATAAGAGAGATTAGCGTTAAGATTATTCTCTGCAGCCATGTGAAGCGGTTTACTTTAGCTTGATAAAATTGTCTTCGCCAGATAGGACGGATCCTGATTGTGTTTCACGGCTGCGCGTACTAGGGACCAGTATTAAGAGATCTATTTTTACTTGGAAACAGTATTATATCTCATAACGTGTATTTAGATCGTAAGAGTTACATCTAAAAATATAGCGTGCGTAGGTGATAATGAGAGAAACTTTAGAATCGAACTATATAAAATATCGGAATATCGTGACTACGATTTGTGAAATCTGTTGTATCGCGCAAAAGAAATGTCAAACTCCCGTACCAGAGCATTTAACCGAGAAAACGAAAGACAATGTGTTATCACAATTTTGTAATTTTTTTTTTTTTTTTTTTTTTTTTTTTTTTTTTTTTTTTTTTTTTTTTGTTAGAAGCAAGTACTTACGCGATCAGAGCTAATCATTGTGTAAACTAACGTGTATGTTTTTGGAACCAATTCCAAAAACCTTACACGTGATTGCTGCTCTGATCTGAGATTCATAGTATTCACGGTCGGATTTTGTTTGAGATCGTCTTCAGACGGAAGCTAATGAGACGGTTCGTACCGTTCATCATCTTAAAATTTAAGAATTACGAATATATGAGACCTCACTCTGCCGAGTGAACAACGTAATCTGTGCGCGATGCGCAAATGTCGATAGTACGTGAAAGGATTGACAACGAGTTCGGCACATTTAGATGGCGAGAAACGTGAAACTTATTTATTGTAGCTTTAACTCGCGAGCGGATGAGCTTAATTTTGTTTTAGCTGTGATATCCCGAACGTACATTAACGTACAGAGTTCCTACATTTATATATACTTGCATGTACATAACATACACACGCACACATACAAGTACACACACATTACTGTATCATGTAATACACACTATATAGATAGACATCGTGCTTGAGAACATGTACAATACGTACTTTAGAACGTAAGCAATTCTTCTTTTTCCCGTCGCACGTAGAATCTCTCTTGTCGCGCAAAACGTGACGACATCCCATTTTCTCAAGCTGGTTTCCGCGTTGACCACGACTGACGTCGCGCGCAAATCGCGCGAGAAACCGAGCGAATTTCAGCGGAATCGAATTTTTCGAGGAGATTTCGCGGTTCCTTTCTTTAGATCAGATTTTTTTTAGTATAGTAGCCGACAGTGCGCCGATAGAGCTCGACAAGGTGTATCGTTAAGAAAGTGTAAGAGAAATCACGCACGCGTGTGCGTTTGAATTCTGACCTGCGCATGTAATTTTATTCCACGACGTTGCGCACTTGAGTTTTACCTGTTGTACACGTAACGTATACGTACGATAGAGTAGAAATATTTGTAATTGCGTATTCAATGTTTCTTTTTTTTTTACACACTGTACTTAAGCTCGATCGTAATTTAGTTTTGTTACATAACTTTTTTTTGTACCGCGAATACGCCGCGATATTGAACGTAGATGCGTATTTTTTTTCTTTTTTTTTTTTTTTTTTTGGCTTAGAACATTCTGTTCCCGATACACGGTAGAATATTTATTCGGACACGTTTCCACGACGTTTCTCTATTTATTGTATCACGTTACCATTGCATGTATTATACGTATATACATATATATATATATATATAATATATATTTATTGTCATTGCTTTATTTATACGCAACTGTCTCGAATAAATACGATATTTTGTATCACGAACTGAACGCGTGAATTTTTTCTCCTCGATGCAATTGCCCCAATAATAATCCCTTGAATGATTATCTAATGTAATTAATTAAATGACACAAATATTGACTTGACCTACAAACACACACACGTACACACATGTGAATGTGCAAAGTGTACATGTGACCGGAAATATCAGGAGTGCATAAAGTGCTCCTCTCGCGCGTTCCTCGTAACGTTCGATCACCACCTGTAACGTGCAACGCGGAAATAATGCAGATAAGAGCATACTAAAATGTAATAAAACATGACTCATCGCCGCAAAGTGAGATATTAATATTTTAAGTAAAGACGATTGGATGAGCAATGCGCGTAATGACGTCGTTCTTTTCTTTTTTGCGACCGCAAATGTTTACAAACTTGTTTTGCACGCTGCGCGAACGTGTAGCCAATGCACCGTGACACAATTCACGGAGTTATTGTTGTTTTATAACAATAGTGACGACAGAGACGAGATAATCGGTTGTGATTTGATTTCATTCACATGGCGCGGATGTAACGTGTTGCATCGACAAACGTCGCGTACGAGAAGGAACTTTTTTATAGGATTTCTTTTTGTATATATATTTATGTGCGCGCGCGCGCCTCCGAAATTATATCACCATTTTTATGTACATAAAATGATCAAGCTAACATCGGGGCTTAGCTGCATCGTCGAGAGAACGATTTCCCAGACGCATTAAATATTGTAATAGGAGTGCACGAAGAGCGGATAGGTTGTAATCTCACACACGGTTTTCACTCGTATGTACGGTTTTTACTCGTGTGATTACAAGAGAGAAATTTGAAAACGTGTTCATTTTAATTACCCGTTGCGTTAATGAACTAATTGCGATGTACATGTAAAAAACAAAGCGGTGATAATATCTTTCTGTTCGGCTTAATCTATTCGCTCAGACAAACATGTGTAATAAAATTTATTGTTTACATAGTTGTCTAATTTATTTCTTAATATTTTTTTAATTAAATGTAACGAGTTACACTGTGTATTGAACTATTGTATTGAATATGTATTATAGAAAATAAAATCTTTATCTCAGAGAGAAAAAAAATGATAGTGATAAAACTTTTAAATTTCCGTTCTCTTTGCCGCGACTGTGTTACCGCGCTACAGTTTTTCATTTTACAATAAACGCGCTAATTTTGCAACAAATATATCAGCGAATAAATATTGTGTGCATTGAAATGCGATTTCAACGAACTTGGGGAGGGGAAAATCGCGTTCTGCTGCGTATGATGCGCTTTCTGCGGATGAATCGGGGGCCGCTATTTGTTTTCCTTTGATCGTGATACGTACGCTCTCGCGCCACTCGCGAAATAAACGCGTCACGTCGCAACCTAATCGGGCGTGAGAAAATCTCTAATCTTAGTTCGGTGAATTCACGAGCAACCTAATTATAGTATCGCCTTTTATGGCGTATCCTTTACGAGCCGCGGCACCGTTTACGTGCGTTACACGCGTCGACGTACGCAAACCCGTTACGTCTACTTCATTCAGTAGTTTTTGTCAACCCTATCGTCTCCGTATCTCGACGGGAAAGAATTGACCTCCTGACGTCAAGATTCCTCCATGAATGAGCCGTTGAATCTGCATGAAGCAAATTTCAAAACAAATTTCTAATTTATAAACACAGAAATTTTAATTTAAAATAACAAAAGCGTGCACCGCGCGAATAGACACGAATCAAATATTTTGCGGACTGCAAACTGTGCCGTGCAAAAAAAAAAAAAAATTCCATTGTATGTGATATTGCATACATTCAACTTTCCGGAATCGCATATCAAATCTCGAAATAAAGCAGATGCGATGATACGCGCGCAGCAAGAAGTCGATGCGCCTTCTGTTATAAATATTTTTCGTTTTCTTTTCTCGCTTCCAAGTATAACATTTATGTGAAAAATGTTCGGATAACAATCAACATAAGTTTGCTACAAATTTAACTCAAGAAACGGGGACGGGGGGTCGAATCGATCGGACGAGCATTTGATTTCCAGCGATTTTATTTGACGACACACGGCTTTCCCATTTGATTCACAGTGCAAACACACACCGTCGTGTGAATAGCGCGCGCGGCATTCGCGAGAGATTTCTCTGACGGAATTGTTGCGCGCAGTTGCGAATGCATGCGCTACAAACACGTGACGACAGGTATATACACCGTTGGTGTTTCGGGGAAAATCTCAATGTTCATGTGGGCGAGATCCGCCTAACGCATAGCCGATGAGGGATCATTGCGCGGTCTAAGTGAACACGTCACTTAGATAAATTTGGATAGCTTGACGTGACAGCATATCTATGACGGATGTAAGACTTCATTCATTAATACACACATACACACACTTATAGCACAGACCGGCGAGGTTGCTATCTCTCAGAATCCCACAGAACCTGAAATTCAACTCTGACGTATTTTATGGTCGCACATCAAATACTAATTATAAACATTGTGATTCGCGATAATTTCGTTATTAAGCAGCGACTTGCGCATCGCGACTGGCATTGCATAAGTATTTGCGTACCGAAAGTGGTTTGATAAAAAAAAAAAAAACAAACTCTCTCGGTTTCAACGACGTCGGAGGCTCGTTCATGATATCTCTGGGGTTCCGTCGACGGAACAGCAAAAAATCAGCGGACAAAATCTTCGCCGCAACCCCACCGCGTCTTACCGCAACGTGCGTGCGTATACGTTCGATTTGTTTACACAATCCCATATATAAGGAGGAAGTACGGGGAGTTTGACAATCTCAGTTCACGATCTCACGTCGATCGAGAACATCGTTCTCGGTGCTTTTGTCGCGTTAACACACGGTGCAACAAATCGAATTCGACGAGATCGTTCGATCCGAACTTTCAAGAAATCCGCGCAACAAATACAACTGCGAAAAATAATTTCGAAACATGTTCCCGCAAAGATTCGGTCTCATCTCGATTATACTCGTTGTCGTTACTGTCGTGCCGAAAAGGACGATGTCCAGACCGACGGTACCGACGTGGCACCTGCCGTGCGGTAGAAACATCGTCACGGAGACGATCTCGTCCGACGAGAACGACCTCAGGGGCGGTCTGGACAACGTAATGCTGCAGCATCAGCTGACGCTGAACGATTACCTGAAGCAGGACTACGAGTACTTCTACGAGAAAGTGAGGATTAGCGTTCGCGACCACCAGTACATACCCACCTGGGTGCCCGGCAAGAAGGACGTGAATCTCGTGAAGAGACTTGCCAACGCCGATTCGCAAACGGTGAGTGGACTTAACTCAACATTGTTGCCTGTCCGTGTTTTCGCGACCTAAGCTCGCCGTCATTTAAGTGTTTCGCGTAACGGCCGTCGTCCGTCCGGCCATCAAAAACTCTTGACACCAATGCGCGTTGCAATTGCAATTACCTTGCCAAGTTAAGACGCGTTGCAAAAACTCGATGAAAAATCGGCGCGATCTTTTCTCAAATTGCATCTCTAAACGACACCCTTAAGTTCTCGCGACGCATAATATGTAAGACTCGCATATAATTTGCCGCAACATTGTCGACTTGCGCGAGCTTCCTCGTCCCGTCGCAAGTTTTCTTTGCGACATTGTGTCTCGTTAGTTTCTTCGCGATCATTAATATTCATCGTTGGTAAGCGTCGTTACCGTGTAGCAGAAGCGAAAGAGCAACCCGTTGCAAGGTGTTCTACTAGCGTGCAGGTGTGCAACGAAGAGCGAAGTTCGCGGGACAAAAAGAGAAAGAGAAAGAAAGAGAGAGAGAAAGAGAAAGAGAGAAAAAGAGTTGCAACGCTTCGTGTTTTCAGCGTCCGGCCAACCTGCTGACCACCCGGTTGCAATTGATTAACGCAACGTTAAATAACAAATTTTAATGAGACGGTAATTATTATAAAGTAGCAGGCGAGCAGGAGCGAGCGCGGTCTCTCTCGTTGTGGTGCGCGCGCAACCGCGACCGTACTCGCGGCAGTTATGTTCGCCGGGTCGCGCGGCTGCGTAATCGCGCACTTCTGCCTCCTCGATGCAAGCTCGCTGATAATAACGCGGACTGATATCGCGACCCGCGGTACTCCCCAGATGCCGGTATTCCGCGTGTAAAGGTAGAGAGAGAGGTGGAGAGAAGAAGGGGAAGAAGAGAAAAACACGCATCTCTCCCTTCCCGCTCTCTGCCACGCCTCGATCTCGCCAGACCGAGCGGAGCATTGATCCGCGTAATTGCGCTTATTTTAGGATTTTCGTTCTTTTTCGGAAGATAACATTTTTACGGCTCTCTCGCGTCCCGAGCGGCAATTAACTTGCTGATAACGACAGAATAACAGGTGAATTTGTATCGCGTTGCTCCGCGCGTCTCTATTTTATTTACGTTTCATTTCCTGTCAATAAAACATTCGTTTTAGATTAGGCAACTTTAAAGCCGGATGTTGTTCGATAAATACCCGACGTACGATGAGCAATGAGAAGAGGAATAAAATTGTTACACTTGCGTGCGAATGTGTACGCGACGCTAAATTTACACACGCACACAACTGAACTTCATATGTACAGGGAGTTCCCCTTTTATAATCTTGCAAACATCACTGAAAATAATACTAAAACAAACCGCTCATAAGTATGTATATAAACGAATACCTACTAACAATGAACAATATTTACAAGTTGCATTAACAGTCTTGCGAGCTGCTTGAGAAAAGATGTAATTCTATTCGCGCGGGACTTCAAGTCGAAGTTTATTAGATGAATAAAATTTTTGTGTGAAAAAAAACGTTAATACGAACAAGCTGTATAATAATTCTTTATCTTGTTTTTTGTTTACAGATTGTTAATCACTTGCCAAAATTGCACATGGACCTTCAGAAGTTCGCCGTGGCGTTCGAGGAATTGATCGAGGACGAGATCAACTCTCAGCTACAGAAAGCTCTCAGAGAGACGCAATCGCAGTTGATGATGATGCTGTGCGAGGTCGAGAGCAACATCATGACCTTCCCGACTCTGCAAGTTCCAACTCGCGTGGAAAGAAGTATCATGAACAGCATCGAACGCGACCCGGTCGACGAAACGAGGCGACTCATCAGAGATTGGGGCATACTTCTCAAATACCGTGACTATTTGCACGCTTGGAGACATGTGTTCAACTATTAAGGACAAAGGGATATTAGACTATTGTCAGGTGATCATCGATCATCAGACGTGAGACACGTATGTGAAAGATGGCGAGCATAGTGCATTTGCAACTGACGTAAATTGATATTTAACACCTGCTGAACATCTCTAAGCCGTAAAAAGCGCGTCACTATCCGCAAAGCGGGTACTGCAAAGTCATTGACGATCATCGTTGGTCACGTAGCGACTATTGCGAAATCGAAGTCTACGCGAATTTGCCTTTAGCTCGTGAAAGTTTCCTATCTTATTTATATATTACCAAAACGATTATTTATTATTTATTATCTCAAGCAAAAATTCACTGCTTATTATTTATTCTTTTTTATATATGTATTAAATTATTTATTTAATATATTATTATTATTTATATTTAGTTCGCGAACTCTCGATAGAACTGTGACAGACAATCGTCTCAAAGTTAACGTGCAACCAATGTCGGTCTACTCGATTTTTTCGGTTGCATATGTGATAATCGGTCACGCGGTTTCAACAATCCATTTGTTGCACCTCGTTGACAAGTGATTACTCGTAGCGATAAATTATTTATGAAAGACATTTATCTCTAAAAGAGACAATTTTTATCTTTCACACAGTATTATATATTTATGATAATCGAATAAGAAATGTAATATATATATTTATATATATTGTATGCTTTTTCATAACTTATTTATAAATTTTATACACACAAAATTATACGCAATAAAGTGATAATTTATTACAAATATTTAATCGTATCTGCTCTCATTGTTAATATAATCAATTAATTTCCGTTTTTCTCTTTCATTTCCTCTCTCTTTCTCTCTGTAATATCCTTGAATCCTTACAAATCACAATCCTGAGATGCACACTTTGTTTTAAGATATCTACCAAGGGTATCTCATCGATAGCAAATATAATAGTTGAAAACTTATCCGGTAACGGGTAAAACTTTGTATCGAATCGGTACGTTCCGTCGATACAACAGTTTTCTCATTTTTCTTACACGCACGTGTGTACCTTTCCTCTTTGTGTATATCTCGAGAAACGCGCGTTACAAGAGGAAACCTCGAATGTGTGAATATCGCACATTCAAAGTGATGAGTGAAACAAATGCATGTGGGTGGTAAAAGTAAAGATGAACAAGGAAGTTGAAACCGAACGTGAGAAACTCGAGTTCGACAGAAGAAAACGAACGTATTACGTAGACACTCTCGCTCCACTAATCTTGTACTTTCCACGAATGTTCCGCGAGTGATTCATTTGTCATCTCGAGTTTTGCATATTATTATTACAACATTAATTAATATGTACGTGTTACTCGTTTACTCCGCGCAAGATCATCCCGCGACGAATAATGAAGTAATTAAAGCTTGACGATCTCTGATGTAAATGCGAACGATATGCAAATGCGTTTATAATAGCGCGATGAGATATTTCCGGCACTCACAAAGTGCACGTAATTATCTTCCTAATTAAAACCCGCCAACGAGAAGAAACACACTCGGCCACCCTGATGGTAACATAAGCAACAAAATTTGTGCAAAACTGCATTCATATGTTAATTACACGTTTTTTTTATAAGCTTTATATGATATTTTATTAGTAAACATTACACGTTTCTTAAGAACGAATTGTAAACACAGAGATTTCTCTTTGTGTCGACTATACGGTTTTCTCAAAACTAGAATTTTTGCAGCTTTCATTTTCGCAACTTTTCCACAGAAGAAAATGTTTTGTTATTACACGAAGCAGAAAGCTGTGTTGTCTACTGAAAGTTTTACAAACAATACTTTTTGCACAGCACAACGTTCCACCGACCGAATCGCGCACCAATTATTGGACATTTATATTTCAAAAAAATAAAAACTAAAAATCGCGATTATTGGAATATTTTCATAAAATCGTCAGAAATTATTAAACAATAAATTAACGTTTTTAATTCAATAATTACATGCACATCTTTCTTATGTTTATGTTGCTTCTGTCACTTTCGAAAATATGTTTTGAAAATTGCTAGCACATATATTTTGTTGAGCAATCAATATAATCTCGAAAATTAAAATGCGTTAAGTTTTGTGTGTCAAAACGAAACTGGTATCTCGGGCGTTAATATCGCAATTTGCACGCGATATTTGTCATAAATCGTGATTTTAATGTGATTCCCAACTAAAATTGGCACAGCGCGTTTTACATCAGTTCACTTTCTCCACTCGCAATTCATTTTAAATACGAAATCGATTCTGCTAAATATTGCGCGAACTTCTTTCGCTACGTTAGTAATATACTCATTATTACTTGCCGAAGCACAATAAAACCGAAAGTTTCTCAGCGCGTTCTTATTAAATAAGAACTCTTTTGCCGCGTCATTTTGCAACACATGTCGCACCTACACCAAATTCAAATAAACACAAGAAAATTACACGGCAGTAACATATTTTGTATGACGTTAAGGTTAAATTCGAATTGTATCTTTTGCGGATTATTGTGTACGTGTGTCGAGAGCGCACGAGAAGTTCCACGAGCGTGATTAAATTAAAAGCGAATTTACAATAGAAGAGAAGTCTCGATTCCACAAGGATCACGAAGTCCGTGCCCGATCATAGCAGATGCCAGCCCGTTAGTCGCTGGCATTCAAATGCCAGGCTCTTTGTTTGCCCAGTTTCCACACCGTGAATTACACTCCTGCAGATGGTTGCCGCGCCACGGCAACACATCCACAGAAGCATTATCTTTCGTACGCCTCTCGCATCTCTCAACAGAGAGCTCGCAATAATTAGACAGCGCGGGACGCTCACGAATAGTGTGTCGAGTCAGCGGAGATCGCCTTCTTCGTGGTCGACAGTCATTATCGATCGTCGTGATTTATCAGCAGTCGTTGTCGTGAGAGTTAAATCACGGAGAAGAATCGCGGTGACACCGGAACATCGACGGAGAAGGAGAACGTTTCTACATCATCTTGTATCACACAGACAAGAAAAACCGAAGAATGTTCCGACATATCTCGTGTCCTTAATTTAAAAAATCGCAATTATCGATACAGAGTTATACAAAGAAAACCGCTGACGACACACACACACACACAAGGATCTCAGGCGACAAGAAGTTAATAGCGTCGAACGACCGTGGCCGCCTTTTTCTGAAAAGCGAACAAGGGAGGTATTAGGACAACACATCGTCAATCACCAACAAACGATCGCGTTTGGCATCGTCACCGAAGTGTTCGCCTCGAAAAAAAAAATGCGCAATGATTCTTCAATATTATAATTCACGGAACCGCCCATCAAGACAGCCCGGCGTCGCGGAATCGCGCAATAATCCCGATGACGGTTCGCGTCGCGCGAAATTGCCGGTACTTCACCTTCACTCGACGTGAATCACTAGTCCGTGGAGTACCGTGCGTTCCCCGTCGCGTACAAGAGAAAAAAAAATCATCTTTCTGCAGTTAGTTAAAAAACTTTTCGGAGTCACTTCCACCCGGAATGATTACCGATTTCTATCGTTTTTTCATTAAAAAAGAAATTCTTCCTCAGTCAACATAAAAGGTAGATATTTTTTTATACGCGTGTCTGATTGATTTCGCAATCGGTTCGTACAGCGAGTAAGAAAAATGTGCGATGCCGTCTGTCGACGGCTTCGGAATCCAGAAATCGAGAAAACGCAACCGGTAGTCGACTGAGTTCCGACTCGGTGAAGTGACCGATGTAACCTACGAGTCAAGAATCTCGATAAAAATCTACCGGAAAAAGTTTCTCTTAGTTATGGTTACTATCGCCTATTGCTCGTGACGCAATTTGTTAACGCTTCAACTTGATTCTCCCTCATCCGAAGTATTTCACTCTGATTATTATAAATTATAATTAATATTTACATATCTATAATAATTATTTCTTCAAATGTCCGACGCTATTGTACGCGCACGCTATTGTTATTTTTATTTAACGTGTTGTCAGTGAACACAACCTGTCACCGCGATGACAGATAGTATATACGTCTTATAAACCATATAATACACATATGAGAAATGTCAGAAATAACGCATAAAAATCAAACTCAAAAAATAGTGAGAGAGAGAAGTGGAAAAACAACCCGTGACTAAAGTCACGTGACAGGGAAAAGGGTAAAAAAAAGAATATTATATATATTATATGTAATATTCTATATCCATATATAATACACACACATACGCATATATATAGATATATATACCGTAATCACGTGACCAAAGTCAGTAACACCGCCGCGGTCGCGCGGCCGAGGTCAGTGACTCCACCGCAGTCACGCGACCGAGGTCATTGACCCCCCCCCCACCAAGGCCGCGCGGCCGAGGTCAGTGACTCCACCGCAGTCACGCGACCGAGGTCATTGACCCCCCCCCACCAAGGCCGCGCGGCCNCAAGGCCGCGCGGCCGAGGTCAGTGACTCCACCGCAGTCACGCGACCGAGGTCATTGACCCCCCCCCCACCAAGGCCGCGCGGCCGAGGTCAATGACCCCGCCAAGGCCGCGCGGCCGAGGTCAGTGACTCCGCCAAGGCCGCGCGGCCGACGTCAGTGACATTACTGTAGTATGTATATAATACATACAATACAATATAAAGTATAATATTATAAATATATAATAAATTATATGTATAATATGTGTATTATTTAATGTTATATATAATATAAATTACAGTCACGTTATTTTCACGTGTTGTTTTTCTACTTTTTCCTGTCACGTGACTTTAGTTTTACGTTTTTAATTTTCTCTACATATACGACGAACTGTCTCAAAATCGCTTTTCATTATTTACTCTCTTGATCTTACCGATTCGATTCGACTCGATCAATCAACCAATCAATCGGCAACGCGGAAAAGAGGAAACAATAGGTGCGATATATTCGACTCCAAACGCGCACTTCTCGTGCCTTTTTTAATATAGGATTGTCTCATGAAAATCTCCTCATTCTTAATCGCATGAATTTCGCGTATAAAAGGCACTACACCGTGCCTCTTGATTTACGGAGTTGATTTTTTTCTTGCTGCTCCTCGACAATCGCATACCGTGCGATTTGTACGCACTTCACGTGTTAATAATATACGATACGACGCTGAGAAGAAAATACATTCCCGCACGTGAGCACAATCGTGCGGGCCTGTCGGGGAATGAACGCGATGCGACAAACAAAGATCGCCCTGTTTCTTCGTT